AGTAACTTTTAATGAATTAATAATAGGAGTAATAGTCTCCCTTGATCACTTAATGTCTTGTATTATAGCATTATTTATTTATTTATTTATTTATTTATTTTTATCTTACTCACTTTTTATATCTCCTTCTCTCCTCTCTCTTTTAGATTGTTGTTGTTGTTGATACCTCTAGTTCTCTTGAAGGTCGTTTCAGCCTCATTAAAAGAAAACTCCGCCAGCTGCTACGAGAGCAGATCCTACACAAAACGTCTTTCAATCTTATCCAGTTCAGCACGGATGTCATCAAGTGGAGGGACCATCTCGTCCCGACCACACCCCAAAACATATCGGCAGCACGAGAGTGGATAGATGGGATGGGCGTGTCAGGTAGTACTAATACCCTGGAGGCTCTGCAGGAAGCATTGAGTATCAGTGGAGCTGAGGCTGTTTATTTCCTCACTGATGGAAGGTATTGGAGCTGTATTAAAAATACATGCACAGCAGAAATGTGTTATGGACATTCTCTGTTGTGGTCAGTATTAAGTAGGTGCATCCATTTAATTCCTGACCACAACAGAGCATGTGCATGACACATTTCTGCTTGCCTATCATGCAAAGGGGGAAAATCGCTGCACATGTATAATAATTATCCACTCTTGGTATAGATTGTCTTAGTTATTTTATGTGTGGTTAGTTGACAGTTTATATAGGTACAGGAAGTGTTAACCACAATGGCATCCGACCCACGAGAGACTTTTACAATTATCTGAGTATAAAAGCTCATGAAATGTCTTCATTGCTACTTCTTCTAGTGAGATGTGTATTATCTTTACAAAAAAATTTTTGGAAGGGTCTTCACAGACCCTACACTATTTAACTTTTTTTTGGCTTAGCCATGTCCATGGTCATACCTGTCAAACTTTAAGCCCAACATACATGTACACTGAGCAACTTTGTTGCCAGTACCTTTGATGTGGTGAGGCAACTTGTTGCATGAAGTTGAGAGTCTCTCTACTTTCTGCAACATGTTGCCCAGTGTTGCTCAACCACATCAAAGGTCTGACCACAAGTTGCCAGCAACAAAGTTGCTCAGTGTATGCTGGGCTTTATACAGTGGAGGATCTAGGGGGTTCCATGGAATCCTCCTTTGGCAGAAGTTGTCTTTTTGCAGTTCTTTGCAGCACTTTTCCTTCATTTTATTAATTAAAATTAATGAGCCACACCTATTTGAGTGAAATGGAACCCCCTTTTAATTTTTTTAGATCCGCCAGTGTGTTATAGTGTTCAAATTTCAAGCCAATTATCATGTTACTTGCTAAAATGTTGTTATTATTACACTTGCCCATAGCAATTTAGGATGATGATGAAAATGGAATTAAAAAAAACACACAAAATGTTTATTTTATTGTGACAATTGATAGAATTACTAATGTATTTATTATTATTATTTTTATTGTTGTTGTCATTTCAAATAGGCCTGACCAGCCACCAGATCTAATCTTGTCTCAGATACAGCAGTTGAGGCGTATTCCCATCCACTCCATATCATTCAACTGTGCTGACAGTAAAGCCAACCAGTTCTTATTTCGATTGGCATCAGTCACTGGAGGAAGGTAAAAAGAAATCATTGTAATTACCAACTATCAATATTATATTATTATACTACTACTATACTAAGTGTTTCTTTTCTTTTTGTTAATAATAATAATAATAATAATAATAATAATAATAATAATAATAATAATAATAATAATAATAATTAGTAGCGTTAAATTATGCTATAGTAATAGTAGCACTCATTTTTTGACAAGCTAAATAAATAAACAATTTCTTATATTTTTAATTTAATTATTTTCCAGGTATCACTATTATTCTGAGGATATTACTGATCCCAAGGGTCCAGTAACCCACCAGAGTGATGACCTTCAGTTGCTAAGCGACGAGATTAGCCACGCCCATGATCAGTTGACCCAAGCACAGCAGCTGAGGGAAGCTTGCAACAGATTAAAGCATCCTGGTAATAGAGAATAATAATCTATCTGGATAGCTATGATAATAGCAACAGTAGCAATAGTTATTATTATAAAAATATATATTAAGTTAACAAATATTTTATTTTTATTTCAGGCCACAGATATACTTATCCTATCCCAAGGAGGAAGAAACCAAAAAGATTGTAAGTTACA